ACGGGTTTTAGAATGCTTTGGCCCACATATCTTGGCAATTGTTTCCTAGCATATTAGTTTCCCTTTCTACTCAAAATTCCATATGTGTCTTTATCACTATTAAATTATTATTTTTATACAAATATTTATGTAAATATATCTTTTTTAAAAAAAGCTACAGGCTGGGCGCAGTGGCTTACACTTGTAATCCCAACACTTCAGGAGGCTGAGATCAGTAGATCATGAGTTCAAGAGATCGAGACCATCCTGGCCAACATAATGAAACCCTGTCTCCACTAAAAATACAAAAATTATCTGGGTTTGGTGGCGCCTGCCTGTAATCCCAACTACTTGAGAGGCTGAGGCAGGAGAATCACTTGAATCCGTGAAGCAGAGGTTGCAGGGAGCCGAGATTGCGCCACTGCACTCCAACTTGGCCACAGGGCAAGACTCTATTTCAAAAAAACTATAGCTCTTTTCTAGGATGAGTTTCTTAATAAATGCCATCATCTAATGGTTCTTTCAGCTAAATTCTACGAGTGGTAAGAATTCATCGTGTTAAATATTTTTATTTTAGCCTCGTTATTATATGATACTTTGTGTTGAGAGTCATTTCTCTCAGAATTTTCAAGATATTATTTTTCTACAATCAGTTTTTGCTAATGTAAAATTTTCTGTCAGATGTATTATAATTCTTGTGATTCATTGCTTATTAATTTATGGTTCATCAGTTTCTTGGTTTTTCTGCAGTTTCTCTATTTATTAGAGACTCATGTTTCTTCTACTATCTGAGAAATAGTTTATTTATCCGCCTGGAAAAATCATGTATTATGCCTTTTAATTTAGCTTCTTCTGTTTTCGTTGTCTTTTCTTGTGTAACTTCTGCCAGATAAATATTACAGCTCTTAGTCTATCTTTGATACATAAACCCTGTTATATTTTCAATTTCTTTTTCTTTTTTCTGTACCTGGCCAACTGGAAGAGGAAAGAAAGATTTTTATACAATACACAGGACATTTTAAAAGATTTTATAAGCAGGTGTGAATAAATAGAATATAACCAACCACTTAAATGTATAGAAAAGTTTTCTGTATCATAGAAATTGTAAAATAAATTTTCAAGGCAAAGGACAGAAAAACCCCACAGTCTTCTAGGTAACAAATATAAAAACAAAAATTTCCATATTTTTAATACAAACAACTTTGAGATTGAAGCATATGAGTGCTCTTTTGCTTAAAAAAATATATATCCCATGTAACTTTTCTTTTGTTTACTAAGAAAAATTGAAATTAAGATTGTAATGGTTAACCATATTACACATTTTTATAAAATGAGGAAATGACAGGAATAATTCTAACTATGCAGTTTTCTACAAGCTTTGTGACCTCCCATCCTCTAATCATACATCCTGAAATAAAAAGAAAAAGCAACAAAAACAGTTTTTGAAAGACCATTTTATTGATTCCTTTCTGCAATAATCACTATGATCCCAAACTTGGACATACCAGCCAAACTTAATTAATGTCTATTTGATTCTTTTTTTTTTTTTTTACAGCTATGCCATTTCATTCCTTCTTCCCTTTGACCATGTCTTCTCATAAAATCAGCAACAGCTGCATTGCAATAGGATTGCTTTCCAAGTTTAAACCTTTGACCATTAGACCTGAAAAAATAGCAAAGACAAGAAAATATGTCTCTAAATCCAAAGAACTGAAATCATTAGTGGCTAACCTCATGTACAAGAGATGAAGATGCAATTGATCAGAAGGAGGTCATACTTGGAAAATTCAGTTTCACTAAAAGAAAACAAAGGTCAAAAAATTTTATGTGGATAAATAACCCTGACAACTGTAGAGAATTTTCTACTTCATATGGAATGGTTTCCTAACAAAAAAGTCTGAATGCTCACTAAAATACACAATATCAAGCTTCCCACATATCTCTGCAACTACTTATTCTCTTTCTCAGTATTACTAAAGGCATCAGCTAGCATTTACTGAGTGCCTATGATGGCCAAGGTCATAAGCTGTTCCCATGCTAAACGTTCCTAACTAGTTATATTGGTCTGTTCTGACAGGAAACTTACTTTTTTTTTTTTTTTTTTTTTTTTGAGGCAGAATCTCTCCCTGTTGCCCAGGCTGGAATGCAGTGGCCAAATCTTGGCTCACTGCAAACTCCACCTCCTGGGTTCAAGCGATTCTCCTGTCCCAGCCTCCCTGAGTACCTGAGACTGCAGACATAAGCCATCATACACGGCCAGGAAACTTTTAATCACAGCAGAAGGGGAAGGGAAGCAAGGCACATATTATATGGTGGCAGGACAGAGAGTGAAAGAAGGAGGAAGTGCCACACTTAAAACCATCCGCTCTCCTGAGGACTCCCTCATTATGAACAGCATGGAGGAAAAACGCCACCATGATCCAATCACCTCCCACCAGGTCCCTCCCCGGACACGTGGGGATTGAAATTCAAGATGAGATTTGGGTGGGGAAATAAAGCTGAATGATATCACTAGCTACAGATTTCTTCTGGTTTTCTAGCAGCAATGTCATTAAAGAAAAAAGACAGAGAGAGAGCTACACTTCTCTACAGTGGACCACACTGCTAATGTTTGCAGATATCAGAGAGAAGTAGCCTGAAAAAAATTTCCTCACCTTCCTGTAATATCAAACAAACACTTCCAGTTAACTGATAATTTTTCTCTTCTTTGGTTTGACAATGGCAAAAGTGACTTTGAAAGCAAATAAATGATCCATTTGTTCAGAATTGGATATCAAGATACCCTCTTTACATTTAGATTGCTTTGATTTCTGCAGACCTGGGAATAGACATGTCACGGCAGCACTGAAAAGGAAGATATAAACATCATTTAACATCATCTTATGTTAAAATGTTGTCTTTCATTCCTTGGCCACTGGCAAACTCCAGATCCTTCTTAAGTTGCTGTAGAAATTGCTATCTCTAACCCTACCCCTGTACTTCTGCAAGGGAAGTGCAGATGATTTCTATGGAAGACGGGGTAACTCTAACTAATGTGCCCTAAGTATAATCGAGATGACTCAGATGCAAGCCTTGAGCCAGCCACTGCATCATGTCTACGCCTCCCTAACTCAAAGAGAAGCAGTCTTCCTGTTTCTGGCCTGCCCTCTGTCCTTCTGCCAACTGACAGCTGTGGTGAGAAAGATTCTGTACTGACCCTTCCTCTCACAGTCTCCCGAATCATGAGTACAAATTGTGAGAATATAAAAAACAAGAATCCCATTCCACAGTCTCAGCCATCTTAAGCAACATTGTGTAGGGAGGAGCAACAAATAGTCCTTTTCTGGGCAAAAGCTATCCTGAGATAACCCCATTCTAAATTGCTCAGTTACACTAATACAGGGATTTAAGAGAAATGAAAACATTAACACTGATTACAGCATCTCTAGGACATGTAACAACTTGTATATTGAAGATCCCCTGAAGAATGTTATCTCTCTCATGGATACAGGCGGGTCTGTAAAATAACTGTGGCATTTTAGTGCTAGTGCATTCTAAAGTTCCACATGACAGCTGCATAGCCAACATTTTAAAGCGATCAGAAAATTCATGCTACACAATGCTCACAGCTGGACCCATCGATCAAATTGTTTTTTGTTCAAATGAGATTCAGTGGTTGTTAGATAATTAAGCACTCCATGTTCTGGACTTCAGAATTTTAGTCATGGGAGCTAGATTTGGAAGGAAACAAAATATAAAGCTTTCCCTGTTGCTTTAGCCTGAGATAAAGATTCTTAAAGCTGTGCATGATTCTAGGACATTTAACACTGTCTCCCTGCAGAGCTGTGGCCTTTAATTGTTATTGACTATATTGGTCATTATTTGAGAACATTTAACTGTTGAGGATTGAATTAAAATACTAATATTCACTCTTGTGAAAGCAGAGTGTTCAGTATGATGAAGAGGTTTTTCTCCATTCACACGCAGGCTCCAAACTGAATTATTATGCAGAAAGAGACTGTGGCCCCAGTGGTCTAAGATATGATGAATATTGGTTCCATTACTTCCACATTTATGTGCAATATGTCAGTTAAGATGACTTTCACGGCTGGGCATGGCGGCTTCTGGTAATTCCAGCTCTTGGGAAGGCCATGGCATGAGGATTGCCTGAGCTCAGGAGTTCTAGGCTGTAGTGAGCTATGATTGTGCCACTGCACTCCAGCCTGAGCAACACAGCAAGACTCTATCTCAAAAAAAAAAAAAAAAAAATGGGGGCGGGGGAAGGGCCTGGCATGGCAGCTCACACCTGTAATCCCAGAACTTTGGGAGGCCAAGGTGGGCAGATAACGAGGTTGGGAGATCGAGACCATCCTGGCTAACACAGTGAAATACTATGTCTACTAAAAATACAAAAAATTAGCCGGAGGGGGCGTGGTGGTGGGCGCCTGCAATCCCAGCCATTTGGGAGGCTGAGGCAGGAGAATTGTTTGAACCCAGGAGGTAGAGGTTGCAGTGAGCCGAGATCGCACCACTGTACTCCAGTCTGGGCAACAGAGCATCACTGTCTCAAAAAAAAAAAAAAAAAAGATTTTCACTAGAGGACATACAGAAAACTTTGATTTTAATTGCTTAAATTATGCCAGTATAAAGTTTTAAAATCTGATATAAGGAATGGCCCCAAGTTCAGTACAATCAAGGTTCAGTTCTGCCTTCATGAGGTTGTCTTGGTCTGCTCTCCCGCTATTTTGTTTTGTTTGTAGCTAATAATTTCTAACACTATGTGCCAACCTTGGTTTAAAAGCCTCAGATATGTTTTAATTCATGTAATACTCACAATAGTCCTATGAGGTTGGCCCCTTATTTTTACAAATGAAGGAACTTCAAATCTACATATTAACTCATGCATCCTCAAATAGTCTATGAAATAAGCACTGTTATTATCCATTTCACAGAAAGGGGAAACGAGCACAGAGAGATTAACCAACTAGCACAAGATCATGTAGCTAGCAAGGAGCGGCGCTGGAATTTGAAGCCAGCTTTTGGACTCCAAATCCAGTATCCTTAACTATTAGGCCATCTAATTGTCTCAAGATGTAATTATTTTCAGATGTAATTGCAGCTGCAGGGATTCCTTTCCTACCTGATGGTGTTGGCTATGAGGGTGGAGGAGCTCACTCTCTTGTTTGAATTTTTAAGAGCAAAAGACCTTTACCAGAGGGTCCCCTGCAGAACTTCACTCAGGTCTCACTTGCCAGGACTGTGACACTTGCCCAACCTGAATGATCAGCAAGGGAGTCAGACCCACTGTGATGGCTCACACTCTCACTACTCACTAGTGAAGCCTCCCAGAGAAGAAAAAACAGGGCAAGATTAATGTTCTGCCAGCAAGAAAACAGGGCACAATGGATGTTTGCAAAGCAAAGCAATTTGTTGGCTGTAGGCAACCCCTGTACTGCTTAGGTTCATATTGAAATGTGGGTTGAGTATATGAAATCAAACCCTCCTTAGCTTCCCGCTCTTTGGAATTTCAAATCATGAAATCATTGTGCCAGACAAATGCCAGGCAAGAGTAGTGCCTGCAGCAATTTTATTCTGCCTTGAATACTTGTTACACCAGAAATTCATTCTTTCCTTTCGTACATATTTGTTGAAACCTTTCTATGTGCCATTTTTATGGTACTAGAAATACAATGGTGAGTAAGCAGATACAGCCAGCCTTTGTGGAGTTTACATTGTATTAGAAGAAAAACAATAAATATATAAATGAACATTGTAATTGCAGAGTAAAGCATTAGAGAAATGGGAGTGAGGTTAGTCAAGCAATGCTCTGAGAAGGGAACCTTTGGATGAACGCTTAAATGGTATGAAGAGGAAAAATGAAAGTGATAGCTTGAGTGTTGGGCTTCAGGGCTCTGAGCATCAGCTACATCAGTTTCAATCCCAGCCCCGCCACCGCAGGTGTATGACATCACAGCTCTGTGCATCAGGCTCCTCCAACATAAAATAAAGACAACTCATCCATTTGTGGAGATGATTAAATGAGTTAATACATTTTACAATGTATATGCTGCCTGGGTGCTAGAACATTGTGTGTCCTCAGCAAATATCAGTTGTTATTACCATCTCAGAAATAATAGTCCAGGCACAACAAGTCATCCTTAGTAAAGTTGTGCTTTAGAGGAACAGAAGCTGCTGGGCTGGAGGGAGAGGGTCTGCAGATGGCAGGAGCTAAGTGAACACAGGAGAATGTGATAAGAAATAAAGTCTGAAAGGGAGGCCAGGGCTACATCATTCTGATCAGTAAATGTCAGCTCTGCTTCCACGTTAAGGGTTACCTTGGCATGGAATAAACCAGAATTTCTGGGGATGGAGTTTAGGAATCAGATTCTGGAGTTCGCGAGTTGGATTCTGACCTTCAGCCAAAGAGGAAAATCACTGATGTGGGCCTCGGATGCTAAAGAAGGAGTTTGCATTTTATTCCAAGCCATTGGGATGTTTGTGGTGTCCTTTCTTCCTCAACCTCATTCCTGTGTGTCAAATTCTCAGCGATCTTTTGAGTATGTGACACTCTCTTCAATAGAAGAATCCTAGGACAATCTCTCCCTCCCCTGTCCATTCAACACTCTCTTACCTCTTTATAACACAGCACTCACAGAGTATGTTGGGATGTACACATGCCTATTCCTCACTAGAAGATAAATTGCTCAAAAGCGGGAACCATGTATCCTCAGTGTCTTGTCCATTAAGATAAGATGAAGTCTTTTAAAGAATAAATTTAAGGGCTTTGCTTAGAAACGATTGCTTAGACTAAGAGCTCATATTATAAAAAAAAAAAAAAAAAAAAAAAAAAAAAAAAAAAAAACATGCTTCAGCCAATCAAAGCACTCAACGAACACCCAAATGTCAGGCACTGAAACGTAAAGAGACAAAGATGGCTTCATCAGGTTACAGCTATTTGTTCAAATTGGGAACGCCTAGAATGTCATAATACATTTAAGAACAGAAGGATGAAACAGGAATATAAACTTCATGTTTAAATGCAATTTCTTCCGGCAAGTTATGAAAGCTATGAACTTATTTCCTCTAGCAATAGATGAAGTAACACATACATAATGAAAATTCTAACTTTTACATCATCATGGTATAGATAGTATCTAATGATAAGGGATTCAAGTTTGGAACAATTTCAAAAGTATCAAGAAAAATCATGCAAAAATGCTATCATTCATTTAAATGAATACGAAGCAAAACTCTTTGAAGTCTCAAGTGTACATGTACTTCATGGATAAAACCACACCTAGTTTTATGTGCATCATTTATATTTATTCATCAAGTATCTGATTTTCACAGCTGTGATGGACATCTGGTTTGTCATAAACTTATATGAATGGACAAATAGTCAATGGAAAATAAGGCAAAATGACTTTCTTAGATTCCTTAAGTAATTTGCAATGTAATAAAAAAGAAAAAATTAGATTCTCTAATAAATAAAAGTGAATTTCATGTAGAACAAAGGCAGTCACTTTACACAGGAACTTACCTTGAACAGCAATCTACAAACAAGCTAGAGGTTAAAAACGGCCTTGTGAGTTCAGGGCTGGTGAGCATTTAAATGCCTGGCCAACTCTAGTTCATGTTGTGATATATAGTTCTATTGGGTACCGACTGTCAAACTGAGTTAGTGTCGATGAAAGAAAATCAGAGATGGACTTTCAGATGTTCTCATTCAGCTGAAAAAAAAAAAAAGTTCAAAAAGATTTTCCTCGCTGAGCTTTTCAAATAAGCACTCAGTAGGAAGGACATATTGCTTGGATGGGAAGGCTCATAGGAATTCTAAGAGAACCTGATAGCTACCATCATTTTTTAAAGTGAATCCAGGCGGTTGCTCCTGTTCTTTCACCTCAGAAAGAGTAAACAAGTACTAAAGATAATACAATCACCCCTTCACATTGTCACTTGACCCGCGATGTGAATTTGGAAAGGTGCTTTTAAGGAGCTCTCATCCACCCACCTCTCTGCATTAACCAATTCACGATCTCCAGCCTCTTTTAATGCAGGCCAGCCCACGATGGCCATAGCCTGCAGCGTTCTGCAGACATTAAGTCAGGAATAGCACCACAACTGGACCTTAAAGTCGACAGCAGAGTCATTCAAGATAATCTAGAGGGGGTATTTGTAACTTTTTTTCCTCTGGACGTACAACCAAATCTAGACTTACTGTGGTAAAATGCAAATGTAAAATTTAAACTGAAGTTTTCCAAAGTTTGACTTTCATACAAACTATACTTTTATATATTATTTATTGACAACTGTAAGTCACCTCCCATCTGTCAAATTCAGACATTCATATAGTATGTGGCATTCAATATTCTGAGCAACTTCATTTCACATGATCTTCTGACCAATGACTTCCTTTCAGAATGTCATCCTCTTTGTCCATAAAGCAGAGCCTCCGTCATTATTTGGATGTTTTTCTTGTTCATTGGCTTTTATAAAGCATTTCTTCCTATGCCATCATAAAGGTGGAATGGAAAATAAAAATAGAAGTACCGATGCTTATAATAAGAAGGACACACAAAAACAAGGACAAATAAGCTTAAGCTGGTCTTGGCCAAGCGCAGTGGTTCATGCCTGTAATCCCGGCACTTTGAGAGACTGAGACAGGTGGATCATTTGAGGTCAGGAGTTTGAGATCAGCGAGGCCAGCATGGTGAAACCTTGTCTCTGCGAAAATTACAAAAAAAAAATTAGGTGCGTGGTAGCGGAGTGCACCTGTAATCTCAGCTACTCAGGAGGCTGAGGCAGAAGAATCATTTGAGCCTGGAAGGTGGAGGTTGCAGTGAGCCAAGATCATGCCACTGCACTCCAGTCTGGGTGAAAGAGTGAGGCCCTGTCTCATAAATATAAATATATATATATATGTATGTATATATGTGTATATATGTACTACTACTGACTACTAACTGGAGGCCTGATGAGTGGATTTATCAAGGCAGGTGACCAGCTCAACATATATATATATATGTGTGTGTGTGTGTGTGTGTGTGTGTGTGTGTGT